CAGGAGGGCCGGCGGGGAGGGCAGTTGAGACTCCGCCGTTGCTTGATCCCCTTCCTGCTGGCTCCTCTCCTCGTCCTCCTTGCCTCTATCCCCGCTTTCCTTTTCTCCCTCGGTTACCCTTGCCAGCATGACCACCCCTCATGTGATTGCCTCTTCCTCAGGTCACCATTCCCAGTCTGCTACTTCCAATGGTGTCGTGGGCAATCACTTCAGGGTTGGGAAGAAGATTGGAGAGGGTTCCTTTGGTGTCGTCTTTGAAGGTACGACGAATCAGCTCCTTTCAGAGGACGGGTTGAATAACATAGAGGTCGCTTTGCGCAGGCACCAACATGCTCAACAACCAGCCAGTTGCCATTAAATTTGTATGTAACGCGATGTCGTTCACAGAGCAACGTCGCGCAGCCTCTGACCTCGGTGTTACGCCTAGGAACCACGCAAGTCTGAAGCCCCACAGCTGCGAGACGAGTACAGGTCCTACAGGACATTGAATGGCACCCGTGCGTCGCTCCTCGGTTTCCGCATACGCTGCAGCAGCACGCCGTACTCACCTGCCCCTCTTCTCATGATGTAGCGGGCGTACCTCAGGTTCACTACTTCGGTCAGGAGGGCCTGCACAATGTCCTCGTCATTGACCTTCTCGGCCCCAACCTCGAAGACCTCTTTGACATGTGCGGCCGCAAGTTCAGCATCAAGACGGTCTGCATGGCCGCCAAGCAGATGGTGGGTTGCCCATACTAGAACCTGCATTGGAAGTCGCAGCCCGCTGCCGTCCGCCTTGTGGACGTTGTCCTTGAGGTCTGCACACCGCCTGCTATCGCACGAGTTACCTCCGCCACTATCGGCTTGTAATCGGATGCCAGCGCCTATGCGTCTGCCGACACGGAGCGCTTCCAGGAGGGAGTCGCTTGCGGCTTCGTCGGCCCCGCTGGGAGCCTGCGGTATCGCACACAGCCGCTGCGTCTGCACCCAATGCCCGACGCCTCTCCATGCTCCGGAAAGCTAACCCAGCCTTATAATTGTACAGGTCACTCGTGTCCAGTCGATTCACGAGAAGTCCCTCATTTACCGTGACATCAAGCCCGACAACTTCTTGATTGGAGTCCCTGGGACGAAGACGGCTAACGTCATCCACATCATTGGTAAGTGCATACGCTCCTCGTTTCAGTTTCGTGTTACCTCTAGGTCATCTTGGCCGACCTGCCAGAGCCCCACTCTCGGTTTCCTGAAACGATGTCTCGTTGACGCTGTAATGCTGGACCGTTTACTGACTTTGCTCCCAAGACTTCGGTATGGCGAAGCACTACCGGGATCCCAAGACGAAGGTCCACATTCCATACCGGGAGCGGAAGTCTTTGTCCGGTACTGCTCGTTACATGTCCATCAACACCCACTTGGGACGCGAGCAGTCCCGCCGTGACGACTTGGAATCGCTCGGGCACGTCTTCATGTATTTCCTGCGAGGCGGTTTGCCCTGGCAGGGCCTTCGTGCCGCGACCAACAAACAGAAGTACGAAAAGATTGGCGAGAAGAAGCAGAGCACCCCCATTGAGGAGCTCTGCGAGGGCTTCCCTGGTGAGTAGGCGCACAGGTGCACAGGTCCCACAATTGTCCTCTGACTTACGGCATTCACAGAGGAGTTCGCCATCTACATGAACTATGTCCGTAAACTTGGGTTCGAGGAGACCCCTGACTACGACTTCTTGCGGGAGCTGTTCACGAAGGTCCTGAAGACGCTCGGCGAACCCGAGGACGGCGTCTTCGACTGGATGCTACTGAACGGCGGCAAGGGCTGGGAAGCAGGCCATGTACGTCATAACAACGACGCATATAATCACCTACTGACGCTCGAGCAGACTTCTGCGCTCCTGGCCTCCGCACACGGTGGCACCCCTCACACTCCCCACCGCGAGCGTCATCGCGACCGGGAACGAGCCCACAGGTCTTCCCGGAATGCCCTCCAGGAAGGCGCGGCATCGCCATCATCTCCCCTCGTGCTTGCGCCCACCCCCGCGCATGTCAAGGGCAGCAGCCGTCGCCCTCACGACGCCTCGCGCGGCGGTTCGCGCGAGCATGTAAGCGTGCAACCGCTTGCGCCCCAGAGCCGTCGCCAGAGCCAGCAGCATGTATCCCGCGGCGAGCGGGATAGCGGCCTCGTTGCTCCCCACCCATACGCTGCGGCACCTAGTCCAGGTGGATATCGCACCAACGCGTATGGGCGGCAGTCACCCGTTCCTCCGAATGGGACACCCACCGGCAACGGTGCTAGCCCTCTTCAGCAACACCCAGACAACTCTGAGTCTTTCATGTACGGCCAGGGTGGCCAAGGCAAGAACGGCACGGCGAGCCGGGAGGGCACGACGACTGGTGGCACTGGCACAAGACAGGACCAGATGAACGGCCAAGGCACGCGCGGCATGGGCCTGTACGACAGAGAGCAGATGGAGCGCGTCGGTGAGCAGGGCGAGCACGGTGGTGGCAGGAAGAAGGGATTCTGGGCTGCATTCTGCTGTCGGGCATGATGACTTGCGTCGCCTAGGCGCGCACCGGCTGCGTGGATCGACTTGTACGTTTGTTTGGTTCCAGGATTGTATGTTGCAAGGCGCTGATGATATGCTTGGTTTTGTATTCATTCTGTAGGCTTGCAGATGTTTCAACTTGTTACGCCTCTGACGACCCGACGAACGACCATATCTTACCGCAGTTCCTCCTAGTGTTCGCACTGCTCTGAGCGTTCTCTGTGCTTCACGCCCCCTGGCCCTCGCTCTCCGCAATCTCAGTGGCCGGTTGACGACCCCGCGACGACGTACATATATACACATCTCCACATACACCTGCACCCACCGCATACCCCCTCACTTCGCCTGTGTATATTCGCTATCCCGGGTTGGCGCCCCTAATCGCATACTTGGAAGTCTCATCCCCCACCATCGTCTCTGTCCCTCGAAATACGGTTTGGTTCGCGCTCGCGCTCTCTCCTCGCTCTGGTTCCGGCCCAAAGGACCCCGCCGCTCGTTCCTCCTCTTCCTACTTGCCGACTCTCCGCGTACCGCATATCCTCTAAAGCGGCGTCGCTTCCTGAGTAGTCGGGATTGCGTACTGTCGCCAGAGCCCTTTCTGTCTCGCATCCAGATGCTAGCGTAGAACGCTGTGCCTGCCTTTCCCTCTCTATCTCCGATTGGTTTCTACTCTTTCTTCTCTCATCGTGCAGTCGATGCATGTCTGGTAGTCATCGTCTAAATACTACTCCAATGGCATATCCAATTTCTACCAAGGAGTGAATTCGTTTCATCCCGGAGTTCGCGGCTTATCCGAGAGCAAGGAGACATGGCGGCTTCTGCATCAAGCCTGTTGACCCTCGTGCCATGCCCTCGCGCCTTCATCGAGTCGAAGCCGGTGACCGCCAGTATACCAGTGAGTGTAACGACCGCCTCGCCGCCGTGGTCAATATTATGTAATGTCGAAATTCAGGCGATGCTATTGGCGCGCATGTCCGGGCCGGTGGGGATTATGCTACGCGTACTGACGCGAGCTGTGACGTTATGGACGCTCTACGGCCGCTGCGACGCGCGCGCGAGTCTAGGACGCGTCTCGAGTGCGTCCAGCGTCGTCGCGGAAGGCCGCGCGGATCGCTCGATTCAATGCACGCAGCCAAGTACGCGCACGGGCCAGGAGATGGACGTCTGGGCAATGGAAGGACAATGTACAGTCTATGCATTACGGCCGGGATATGGTGGACAAGGGGACAACAACACGTATTCGTACAACTACTTATCGTGCGGGGGTGCATGTACAGACACAGCGCAAACAGCGGCGAGAGCGACCTGCGATTATGGAACATCCCGAACAATCCCGTGAACCTCTCCTACACAACGACGACGAGTAGCCGCGAGCGGGCTCGCTCACTTCCGCTCCTTCCAGGCGTGGTCGACGCCGGCTTTGGAGAACTTCTCGGCGTGCTCGAAGAGCGGAGGAGGGTTGCTGTCGGGGAGCTCGCCCTGACCCTTCTGGGTACTTGACGCGTCGGGCAGGCCCTGCCCGCCGTAGCTGCCGCCGCGCGCATGCATCTCCCCGGGAGCCTCTCTATGGCGGAGCGCAGCGCTCTCACCGACGCCCGCCTCGTTCCGGGGGACCTTCTGGGTGATGGGGTGCGCGAGGCCGGGGGCGGTCGAGGCGTATTGCGCGCCTTCGGGCACGGGGGACTCTGTGCGGGTGTAGTTCTGGTATGGTGCGGAGGTGGGGTATGCGCCGGAGGGGACCTCGTACGGCGTGTGGGCGGGGTCGGGCTCGGAGACGACGTAGGTGCGGTGTCCGGCGGAGCCGGAGAAGGGGTCCGGGGAGTGGTCGGCCTGCTTCTCGTATACGCTGCTGACGGAGGACGAGGCGGCGGGCGGGGTCGTCAAGGGCGATTGCGACGTGGAGAGGACGGCGAAGGGGGAGTGGAACGCGCGGGAGGTGCTGGGCACGCTGCGGGATGCGTTGGAGAGGGCACGGGCGTGCTTGGAGAGGGCGCGGAGGGCGGTGGACATGGTGGTGGGCGGGTGGTGGGCGACGAGCAGATGCTTGTGCGGCTTAGGTGTCGGTTGCGATGTGGTTTGGGAAGAGAGGGAAGGCTGGGCTGATAGGCTATAGGAGCGCAGGTGGGGCTTTTGGGGAGCGGGGAGCGCGTGAGTTCACACGGATTACAGTGGGCGGTCTGGGTGGGGTCACCGCTATATTAGGCTCGGCTCAGCGCACTCTCGTACCATGCCCACCTATACAGCAGACTGTTTCACTGTCATGGGAATCCCCAAACATTTGTACATATTCCTCTGCCCTGGCAGTGTCCTGAGCGTGGGCGCGTTACTGAGCGAGGATGGACGCGCTTGGTGGCGGAGTGTGCAGTACCAGCTCCGAGTCGTACCCCGCACGCAGGCGCGGAAGGTTCTTTAGAAGAGCTCGACGGCACGCACCTGCATGGATACACGCTCTCACTAATAACATCGTTACAGGTACACTATCAGCCTTCGATAGCTCAGTTGGAAGAGCGCGAGACTGTAATCGGTTACACAGCCACAAGCTGATCTTGAGGTCGCTGGTTCGATCCCGGCTCGAAGGACTTTTTGGCGGTGAGGGTGTGTGGCCAGATCGATCCCGGTTTGAAGGAGATTTCGGTGCCCAGCGCACTGGACAAAGGTCGGAGTCCGTCGGATGGGCCTGCCAGCCTGGTCTCCCCTGGGCAGACGTCACCAAGTGCAAGCACAACGAGGACGCCGAACCTCACGAGTTTCCACGCAGACCCCGAATCCCATAAGTGCGGGAAGTTGAAGTTCTTACTGGGGCATAGTAATGCACGTGCTCGTGCCTTCTTAACATGTACATTTTAACTTGTCTCTCTTCGAACAGTGGAACACCGCGGACCTTCGCCCAGTGCATATGCCAGTGAACATGTACTGAGGATTCTACTGAAGCATACACTGCACTCTCCACCACATCTGACAAGTACTAAGCAGCATTAGTGGCCAACGGGAAATCACGAGCTGATCATTTCAAGTTTAGTTCGCCTGTGACCCGGTAGACGTGCGTAGCAATTCATGAGCTCCTTCTCGACATACGGTGCTCATGCTATCAGGAGCAGTCACTACGACTCGCCGCAGTACTCGTCGTTGACATCGTAGCGATAGGCCGCGACTGTGCTGGGCTGTAATATCGGGCTTGAAGGTCGTCTGACCCCAACGATCCCACAGTTCCTCCGGGCCCATCCACACGGATACTTCTCTCGGCCAATCAACGACAGTGCCATCTTACGTACCCCTCGCGTACACTTACGGCATTGTATTTCGCACCTTCTTGGGTGCCCATGTGGGCGGGGATGCTGCATGCCATGGCCCGGACCCCTTGCGACCAGCGGGGGTAGGCTGCTTATGGGCAGCACCCGCTATGCAAGCACGGTACGTAACTCTGCAACTGTTCCCGAGCTGGACTGTGGATCTCACAGATTACCTTACGGATATGCAGTCAGACCTCACACGCGAGCGACAGTCTCCGAAGCCCTTGGAGCCTGATCAAGGCATTAGGGTTACCGGCAGAGAGTATGATTTCGCCATGCCGTCTCGCTGTAGTATTCACTCCAGCGGAGCTTCGCGGAGGTACTCTACAAGCCAGCTCGTTGGTTGAGCCTGACGATACCAATGGGACCTTGCGACATGTCGACAATTGCTGCGGGTTGCCACTGCGAGATGCGAGGGAGTCGTACCGCAACCTCGTCCCCGTCCTCGGGTCGGATTATATACGTAGGAGCCGGCAAGCGCCGTGGTGATGGATTGCTCCCAGGCTACCGCACTAGAAATCGAAGGCCGGCGTGCTTCTGCACCCGCGAGGGCCATAAAGTCATGCAGCCTAGGTGGGATCGTCAAGCGCCTGTTGAGAAGTCCAGCCCCTTCCCCCGTTCCTTTTCGCGCTGCCCGCGGGGAGCCTCGCTCATGCCCGTTCGCGATGGCTATCGCGGTCAATCCGTATGCCTTCTTTGACGTAACGTACGCAGCGTTCTTTGAGTCTGCCCTACGAAGCCTCACCATTGGTACAGGATCGGTATGACCCTTATAGGTCTGGCGGTGACCGCGAGGTGAGCCGCGAGGACATGAGGTGTCCCTAGTCGAATTGACCTGGCGTTTCGCCCAAGCCTCTTTGGAGGTGCGCTCCATGTCTCGCCCCGGATGCTACCCAGCCACTCACGATGAGAACAGTCTCGACCGCCCAGATGGTGTGGTACTACAAGCACTATCCCCGTGACCGGAGGTTCCTCAAAATGCTCGTGCGTGCAACCAAACAACGTTGATGAGCGAGGCAGCTCACATCCGCGCAGGTGGCCCTCGTGTGGACCTTTGACGCATTCCATCTCGTCCTGTACTTAGCGACCAGTCAGTCCTGCCTCTGCCATCTAGTGACGGTGTCCTCACAGACGCGCCGCAGTGTGGATATACCTCGTGCTCAAGCAAGTCGAGGCTTTGGGTCCGACTCTACTCCCTTGGTGAGTCGTTCGTCAAATAACGCGACAAGTTCGCCTCCAACAGCGCGCTCTTCGTGCAGGGAATCAAACGTGCGTCTGTCAGCATCTGTCCGCGTGCCTGCCGACTGAATTGGAATCGCTCAGGTCCAGCTCCTTTGTAACGTGGGTGTTCTAACGACCGACTCGGTAAGGGAGAGCTTTCGGCCCTGACGCTGTTGCAGGCCTGTGCAATTGTGACGATTCAAGCGTGAGTACCGTCTCCACCTCGTGACTCGACATACTCACGGAGTGTGCCTTCACCGTAGTTTCTACGCATATCGTATATGGACGCGTTCGTAGTCGCGTTCACGACAAAAAGCATGTCTCGCACTGACAATGGACACAGTGAGCCAAAGTCGGTACCTGGCGGCGCTGCTGGTATGTCTCGTTCTCAGACGAGCTTGAACGCAAGCTGAGATATATATTCTAGGTCACCTTCGTCTTGGGAGATTTTGGTATGATCCTGTCTGTGTTTGACTCCTCGGATGCACATAGAGGCTGAACAAGTGATACGTTTCTCAGGGCTTGCGTTCGGTGCGTGCGACATGACATCGCTCTCCGATGATCACCGCTGAAGTCGTATGCGCCTCCGCCCTCTAGCTCTATTCATCAAGAGGTACGCTGCACGCTAGCACGTGCCTTCCGTTTCCAGTGTTGCTGACCCACATACCCTTCAGCATAATGACGGACAATGTGCAGGATTACATAGGGCTCAGCGTACGTGGATCGCCTCACTCGACCGTCTGTCCCGGTTGAACGCCCGCTCGTAGCATCTTGACATTGCTCTGAGCTCGATCACTGCGTTTACGGATGTGCTCCTATCTGGTACATTAGTGGTCCTCCTGGCTATGTCTCGCACCGGCTCTGCAGGGTGAGTTACCAACCTCTGAAGACTACCCCTCCCGCGATGAATACCGCTCTCTCCAATGCGCAGTGCGAATCGACTAATCAACAAGCTGGTATGAGAGCTCTCGCGGTATGGACGCGTTGTTCCTGGAGATCTGACGTTCGCCACCAGGTGCTGTACACCATAAACACGGGCTTACTCACAAGGTGAGCGCAAATATCTCGCTTACCACTTTCAGCTCTGACTCCCGGATCGCAGTTTCTGCGCGGTCTTGTCGCTTATTGCGGTGGGCACGTTCGTACTCTCGCGGAGTGCTCAAGACGTCTGATGGGAATGCCGCAGGTCGCCATCCTTCCTACCACCTCGATCTACGTGATGTTCTACTACATTGGTGCTCGATGTGCGTTCCCGCCTACTCCGTTGCATTGTTCAGCAAGGGTGCCCGCTCACCTCAATCTTGCAGTATACTCTGTATCCTTACTGGCGACGCTGAACGCCCGGGAGAGCCTACGAATACAGGCGGAACGCATCGGCCACGTATCCTTACCCCGTCTAACGAGCATATCCAACGTCTCTTCGAAGCAACGCGTATGGGATGGCGCGGTACGTCTCCTCTCGCTTCAGAAGACTTCCCGACCTGCTCTGATACTTGCCTAGCAGTCTCGACCGCCAGACATCGTGCTCGCCATCCAGCACAGCTCCAGCGTCGCGTTCGAGGACGACGACGACGAGGGGATCAAGGAGGTGTACCGGAGGCCGCGCAGCCATCACGAGCACCTCGAAGAGGTGGACGAGGGCGCGTCGAGTCTGCGCGACTGGGAGCCGGTGAAGACGAGCTTGTCGGGGCCGCCTGAGCATTGACGGATCTAAGAATATGGACTCTTGCCTCCGTAGGTAGCGAAAAACCTGGATTAAGACGAATGCCCCTACGTACCGTTGTGTGGCGTCGCGCTGCGGCGAAGTACATGAGTGGATGCGGGCGCAGGAAGAGGCTCAGGGGATTGGGCCTGTATGGAAAAGGTCACTTGGTCGAGGGGCCAGTGCGATGCGCAGTGCATGATGCGCCCATGAATGCAGTCAGGCACCCAGGCGCAGCGAGCTTGACTACATCTGCGCTGCGGAGGGCGTCCAGGGACTCAACAAAGTGCACACGACCCAGAGAACCGCTGCTACCGTATTTCTGTAGAATGGTGCGGAGTATTACATAGGTCAGTCGAGTCGCCGTATGTTTTACCTGTTACTGGAGGCGCAGCCTACAGGTACTTGTGCTTGTGTAGGGGCCAGATTCCGAACCTTCAGCCAAGCACTGACAGTCGGTCAGCGGGTGAAGTGCGCAGGCCGCTGCAGACCGGCTGCGCACATCCGCAATATATCTGTCATCGCGCCCTCACGCGCAATTGCTTCCTGTTCTCACCGGCACGTACTGAATAACCTTCGCGCAGGTCGGGACTTAGTCTCCGTTGCCGCCCCTTAAAGATATAGATGACAGTCGATCTATTTTCTATAAGGGTCTGCTCTTCTACGCGCTGTTTACCCGACCTTTGGGGACGGACTCTGCTTTTCGGCGCTAAAACTGTTCGTGAACCAATGAGAGTGCTCGGACAGTCAGCAGACCTACGTGCTTTTGGC